ACACTGTTTTTATGCAAAATCTCAAGTCGAAAATCAGTATTCTTGATGTCTCTAATCTCTAAAGAGGACAACGATATTGGCTTAATAAAATATCCTACTAAAAATGTAGTATCTCCGCAGCAATAAGCTAAAGATTCGAACTCTTTTTCGAATATTCATAGCTCATTAGGATCTACATAATGCTGATAGTCTTCATTCAAAAGCAACTAATCATTTGGAATGACCTTGCAAAACATAAATTCACTAGATAAAAACAAAATAAAGATTTTGTTTTCTTTGTATCGATTTGTTCGTGTAACGCCACACTTCGCTGATTAAGTCTTTGAGAAATCTATTTCTCTTCGAGATGGAGAGATCTAAATACATTATTAGATGCGGGTTTTTTATACTGATTATGAGTTTTACATTTTTTCTCTAAGAAAATCGGAGTTTTAAACTTTTCAAAAGTTCCATTTGGAATTTCCTAACCAAGAATTTTTTTCCAACAAATGCTGAGTGATATACCATTCGATACAGAATTTATTTCTCAACAAACTAGCCTATTTATTTTTGATATTCATCGATAAGAAAAACTTGTACATTTTTGTACAGTTTTCAACTTGCTATAGAGTTAATCAGCTCCCATTTTGATGTAGCAACTTGATTCTTGCATCGAACGATTAATGTATGGCAATGAACAATAATTTTAAAAATCAAATATACATATCTGAGCATGTTAAGTATCTCAAAATCGATCAAAAAAACACACTCTAATAGCATTACGAAAAGCGTAACGCTGCTGTTTCTTTTTTGCATTTTTTATCTGAGGAAAAATAGGTTAGAGAAACTTTTCATCACTTAAAAGCTTGTTCGAATCTCTACAAAACTCTCTTCAGAAATATTTCATTTGGAGAAATACTTTTTCAAAAAACTGGAGTTTTATTAGCAATCCTGAAGAAAAAGGATTATTTCATGTAACAGCGCTACACGATGATAAAACTTTCCTAGAAATCTGAAAGTTCAACCAAAAAAGATCATTTGTATAGTATAAACAGAGTATGATTAGATGCATTGAATGGCGTTAGAATGAACTTTCTAGCTGTCATGGCTTCTAAGATAATTGACAAGTGTCAAAAACATAACAGCGTTACATTTGGGTAAGCAGATATAGTTTCCAGACGTGACTCTTTCAGATGGAAAATATCTAAATTGACAGAATATTCATTGCCGGACAATTCATATGAAGATTTTTCCAAAAACTTTTGCGCCTCTTATTACTTATCGAAAACGAAAGGTATCATTGCATGAAACTTCCGATTTTTTATTGTATTCTATAGAAAAGAATTCTTTGTTGAAAATTTCTAATTGAAATAATTTGAAAATATTTTCTTGTTTATGTTTGTTTTGCTATTTAAAGAAAATATAGCACCTGATGTACAAAATAATCCAAGTTCATTTGATCGACGTCGTCGATCATTTCCTACTCTATTATCTCACATAACAACAAAACCAAGTTTTATGGGTCATCACTCTGATAGTTCATCGGATGAAGATGATGATAAAAAGACAACAACAACAACAACAAATAAAATTGAACAAGAACCAACTGATCTAAGTGGACAAGATATTGATTATTCTGTTTTAGATGATGATACAATTGAAGATTTTAGTTATTCAAGTGCACGTGAACAAGCTAAAAAACGAATTTTACTTGATCAACAATAAGTGATGTTAGAAGAAGCCAAAGAACAAGAATAAAACACTTAAATATTATTTTCCTCTTATCATTATTTTCTTTACATTGAATCTCTATTTGTGCTCTTTTTGTGCCAAAAAAATAAAAGAAAAATAAACAAGAATAGTTTTGTCAGTTTGCACGATGATTTTACTTTGATCATGGTGATTACTTGATACTTTGTTCTAGACTAATGTCTTTCTATTATAATGATGAAAATTAAGAAAAAGAAATAAATATTTATTTTGCGATCTGAGTTTGTTTATTTATATATGTATGTCATTGTGTTTTATGTGTTATTTTATTCATCTAATTTCGATTTTATAGCATTTAGTCCTACCAATAATTATATAACTTGTCCAGTTAAAATAAACCATGCTTGGTCAAAATTGAACAGAAGATTTCTTGAACAAAAGACAACTGAACTTATTCATTCAAAAATTTTTTTAAAATTTTCGGATATTCTCTATTGATTAGATATCATTGATTTTAAATAAAAACAAGAATAAATGATAGTCATCAGTCAAAATGAAGCATTTTTGTACAAAAATGATGAAAGTAGAATCCTCTTATCTTTTATCATATTTTGAACACTGTTTCAGCACTTAAAAATAAGATAGAAATAACAATAGTATTGTTGAAGTTTTGAGGTACAGTTTGACATCAATGAATCAGCTGATATTGTTGTCAAAGCTAGAAAAATGTGTTCTTCTAAAGGGTATAAATAAAGAATGATGAGTGCATTAGCATAATATTTTTGTGATAAATCTTTCTAGAAACAAATTTTCAGAGAAAATATCTGATGATTGTAAGATCTATTATCTTAGCTACCAAAATAAATTAGAATATTTCGTTGAGAGCGAGAAAGTTTCGAGAAGTATGGACTGTTTTGAATCACTTGGATGTAAGGAGTACTTTTGGATGAGTGTATTACCATGACTTTCTATCCTCATGAAGTCGTTGCAATTCAGCCAAATGAAATGAAAATTTTAATGCAACTAGAACTTACATATATCTCGATGAAGTTTAAGTTTCATCTCTTGGTTGTTATAATTTATTGAGCTACAACAATCGGAAGGTCAGAAATGGGTGAGTGGGTTGCCTCGAACAAATTGTCTATATTTGCACTTGTTGTGTTTTTTTTTGTTGAAAAAAATATATTTACACAACAAAAAATGAATAGTTATCTTAAAGTATTTTTAATGATGAGAATGAACAATAAAGGAATTTGATGTTATGATGTATATGACTATTGAATTTTCATTCTGAATGTTTAAGGTTGATTCAACAAACATGAGAGATGATCTGTTTTCAATTTGAGGTCGAGCCATAACAAGATGATATTCGACTGTCACTCAACTGCAAAATGCAATGTGAAGCTTCCGATGTCAATTATCGAAATATTTGTATCTCATAAAGAATAAATAATCGTTACTATGATTGGTTACAGAACACTTTTCTTCAAAAGATATTTATGTTTTACTGGAATTAGAGATGCTTTTGTCATTGTAAATCGAAAAATTTACGGTTCAATCAATCCTAAAAATAAGCCATTATCATTTGGAAATGATGATTTTGATGATCATAAAGATGCAAATTAAAATAATGCATCCAATTTTTCTTTTCTTACTCCAAATAGGCAATCATCAACAAATATATCACAAACAATAAAGCAACCACCACGTATTTATGAAGAATCTATATCACAATTACTTGCTTCATCACCAGCTTATGAAAATCAGTATCGCTTAATTCATGGGATTGGTCAAACAGTTACTTCAACAACAACAATGACAATTGTTTCATCATCGAATTCACCATGTTTATTATATATTTGATATTCATTTGATATATCACAAATGAATCAAAGTTAACCAAGTCAAAAATCAACGAATCTTGATGATAATATTATCTCAATTTCAATAGAAGATATACAATTAGATCAATTATCATTACCGATTAATGATAGCTCATCAAAAGTTTGTATTATGAAAAAAAACACAATATACTTATGAACTATTTTATTTTCATTAATCAATTGACATAAAATTTTTTGAAGTTCATTATGACAAGAAAAAATGAATGATCGATCAAGTCATACTCATATGCGAATCTGGTGAAACTGATTGAGCAACAATGAATTTCGTTTTTCATTTCTTCTATTGTTTAAGAATGAGCTACAATGAAATCAGATCTAAAGCTCTATAATTCTTCCTTCTATAATTTTAGTTCGAAATTCTTTTAATATTCTTTGAAATAACGATTAGAAATGCTCCATCAGAAAGACTCGTTCATTTGATCTTATTATAATAAACTTCTAGTTACAAATGGATTCTGAAAATGTATTGACAATTTAGGATTTCTTTTCATCAGATGAAAATAAGAAAATGTTTCTTTTTCTATTAGAAACATAGAAAAAGCTATCATATTATATGTTCTTTTTTAGTCAATTTGTCGTGTACAAAATTATTCAAGTGATCAAATATTAACTGATATAACAATGAATACATCTATTCGAAGTAGTTTTCTTAAATCACCAATACATCGAAATATTTTAGGACCTGTTTTGGATACATCAGGTTATTTAAGTGAATATTTTTGTTTTTTTTTCATCGATCTAAGATGTTTGTCCACATGTAATAATATCTAATACATTAAATTATAGACTTCGATGGCCTGATGATGATAATAATCAATTATTAGAAGATTCAATCAATGTAATTAAAGGTTTACTTAATTATGATTCGATTTTACGATTTCAATTGGACGGTATATGAATTATCTATTAATAAATAAATATATTTTGTTTTTGTCGGATATTTATTATGATTTAGATCTGGAAAAAGAATCTTTTTTTTAATACAATCGATTGAAATAATTTCGCTAATATGCTAGCATCATTTATCCCAGTACTGATAATGATTGAAAAAGTCTCGTTTTAGCTTGAAATAAAGCAATTGATTTCGATGCAGAATCGATGGATAATATGTCGATGTAAAAATAGTCACTTGTGCAAACGGATTGTAATAGTAGACTATTGTCTAGTTATTTTCTTTTTTTCTGAAGTCGGATTCATCCTGTAATTCCTATATTCTTGAAAAATGATATATTTTGTTCTGTATTCCTATCACTTTTCCTGTTTTTTCCTATAGTTTGTCAAGAAAAGTAGAAAAATGTTTGAAAACTTGTGATCTCTGTCGTACATAGTCTTCACTCATCAGACAAAACATATATACAATGTGTAGTCATATTTTTTCTATGTTCACAATTATTATGATGACATTCGAAATACAGAAAATTTTTCTTCTGTTACTTAATAAAATGGATTAAATGAAAAATACCTATATATTATAAATAGCAGATATTCAAAAGAAGCAAACTTACGTTTTCAAAGTGATCGTATATTTTTTAAAACTTTTTATTGCAATCTCATATAAAGTATGTCTCAGAAATTCTGAAGTAATATTTAAGTTCAATGTTCTTATATTCAACAAAATCAAACTCTCTGAAACTTTGGCAGGCTATCATGTTTATTTCCCATGCAGACGCACATGCTACTTTTTGTACTAATTTTGCCTTGAAAAAATTGTATATAATTTTGTATAGAGTTTGTTCCGTTTGTACAGATTTTCGGCATCAAAATTTTTTGTAGTGAAAACGCCCAGTATTTGTTTGTTAAAACTGAAAAAAGTTGAACGTTTAAACCACTTAAAAATATAAGAGACACGTCAAATTATACTCATTTTCCTCCCGATTATCCGCATTTCTCTTCTTACCGCAAGGTATAGTTTTTTCTTACAACTTCCCAGTCTTGATTCAGCAAGTAATTATATTTTACTTTCGAAAAGGTATGATGTTCTGTTTTTAGTTGTTATCACACATTTGTAAAAAAAAAAGAACGATAGTTATTTAAAGTAAGAACTTTGAAATTTTTTTTCAAGTATATTTGTAGTTGTGTAGTAATTTGAAGTTTTCATTTCTTCCTTTTATTTCAGTAAGATTTTAACTGTAATTAAAAATATAATTGTTATGCTAATTAGAAAATTTTATACAAAAATTCTAAATTACTATGTAAATTTAAATACATTTGGAAAAATTTACAAAGTCCTTATTTTAGATACTTGACGTTCTTTTTTTTTGTGTTTTTACAAATTCGTAGTAACGGCTGGAAACAGAATATCATACCTTTACGAAAATAAAATATAATTACGTGTTGAATTAAGGCTGGAACGCTGTAACAAAAATCTATACCAATGCAGTAAGAAGAGAACGAATGGAAAGTATGAAAATGTTCCTAATCCAATTGTCTATATTTCAATCCTTCCTAACTCGAGTGCACGAAAGAACTAGCGATGAAGGGACTTATCTCGATAATTGCTAAGACTAGCCATACTTGACTAAAATTTAAGCTGATACCGCGTGATGTTTTGATAGAATCCCTCAACTTGTATAAGAGAAAATGTTTCAAATTAACAGACAATATTTCACGAAAAAAATCGTTGATACATTCGTTTTCTAATGCGAAAGAGTCTAGAACCTATATGCTAATTTTTGTAAAACTTTTTTAAAATTTGAAACATACTCTTTCATATGGAATTGGGAAGCTGTATCTAACCAAGAGAATGGAAAAAGAATTCTACTGAAACTTTATATTATGAGCACCTTATATATCCTCCTGATCAAAATAAACTGAACACCTTATTTTGATGCTTTTCTCCTCTTTACGATTGTGATTGAGCCTCATTTTTATGACACAGATACATCTTGTATTACTGAACTTTTTCCGAAAATTACAGTCTGATAGGATGAGAATCCGTTGAGAAAAACGTAATTATATCTCATGTACTCATGTAGCCGTGAAACGAAAATCTCTTGTTTTCTTGCTGAATTTTGCCTTTTTCTGTTTCCAATAGCAATAGTCTTTGATGAACACTTCCGCTTCTATGCACTTTTTCAAAGCGTTTTGTGAAGAGATTTATCCAAAAAAGCTTCTAATATCCATGTAAAAAAAATTATCCAAAAATCGATTAAAAATCGATTTTTTGATTATTAAAATTGATTTTTTTACATATTTTTTTCACATGGGTAGTGAGTATGAGACCAGAAAAAACTAATGTACGCGCCAAAAATTGATGTTACAGAACAGAGAAAAAACCAAAATTCAGCAAGAAAACAGGAGATTTTCGTTTCACGGCTACATGAGTACATAAGATATAATTACGTTTTTCTCAACGGATTCTCATCCTATAAGACAGGGCTTTTCGAAAAATTTTCAACAATCAAAGATGTATCTGTGTTATAAAAATGAGGCTCAACGACAATTGTAAAGAGGAGAAAAGCATCAAAATAAGATGTTTAGCTAATTTGATCAGGGAGATATATCAATGTGAAGATACCACAATGACCAATCATGTTTCAAATATAATCAAGCAATAAAAAAAACAATCATGAAATACCACAATCCAACGAATATCAACACATTATCCTTGGTAGCCAAAGCATACTTGTTCAAAACAAATAAGGAAATGCTCCAACCTGAGGATGCAATCGTGTAGATTCTCTTGAAACGAGAACAAATCGATCATTTTACTGGCATGCCATCAACACTTTGTAAAAAAAAAGGCAAACAGAGGCTCAGCGTCTTTGAAAAAAAGAGGCATACAGTTTCGTCCGAAGAATACTAAAACCCACTGGCACAATAGTACTATAAATCCGACAAAACTCGTACCTTATCAATATAGGTTGAATATGACTTGAAAGAGTAAAAAAGAAACGAAATTTCCGATTGTTCATAGAGATTTTTGTGCAATTACTTATGTATGCATTAGAAAACGGGAAAACATTAGAAAAATAGTCTATTCTATTTGCGTAGTATCTGAATATAATATTACTCTATCTGACTAAGTAGGCACACAGAAATAGAAACGACCAGAACTCATTAAATGTTTTTTTTTTGCTTTTTGTTCCTTTTTTCGGATGACTGTGCATGTGAGAAAGGTTTTTTTTCGTTTTTTCCAATTTTCAGCAATTCTTCCAGGATACAGCGGGTTTGTGAGGAATTGTTTGACCCCGTGCTATCGAAAACGCTTGATTTTTTCCAGTGAAATATGGTCATCTTCTTGCGTTCTGTAGAAACCGACTTATTTGTATTGGGCAGATTGTATGATCGCCTACTTTTTGGTCAGTGGGGCGCCCATGTTTGTTGCTATCGCATTCCATCATACCTGATTTCTTCTAAGTATCATCAAACCGTTGTCAATATTAACTCGTGTCAAGCAAACACTTTTGTAATCGGAGAAATACAGCGTTTCACATCGCCCAGTATTGCGATCGTATAGCTCCGTGATCGTATGCGCAGAAACACGATCGTTTATGGACAAATAAAGCTCGTCTACAGCCTTCATTTTACTTTGTATTTCTTCGTATACGATTATATATCTCCGTAGATGGTTTAGAGATATATGATCGTCCAAAATGTGATTGTATATGAAGAAACTTGGAATGAGAGGGATTACTTCATGTTAACAGTAAATTAATCGCGTAAGGTAATGTAGCAAAATAGTACGGCATCTGTAATCAACCCAGTAATTTTGAAGGATCAGATATTGCCGGATACAACATGAAATCTTTTATCGGTATCTGGTAAGCAGAAATCTTCAACTTATGGCATCATACTATCAGAAGCTATCTTGTCGAAGAAATCCTATCGAATCTGATAGGATTCTAGGATAGGTCTAGCCACCCTGGAAACTTCTTCTCATTTTGACGCATGTGCTAAGCTACGAGTTAGTTATCCATTGTTAGATTCACATCACGAGCTTCCCTGAGGACTGAGAAAAATGGTCAAGAAAAATAAACTCGATATTACCATTTTACATGTCGATCTTAACCAGAACAACTTTCCAAGATTGTGAGAGGATGATGAGTTCTTATTGGAAATATAATTGAGTGATTTTACCTCCGCCAGAGAGCTATAAAGATTAGGTCCTATTTAGAGATATATAACATTGCTGAAGCTGATCACTAAAATCATATAATTTAGTCTCCTTAGCTATACACCTCGACTGATCGGCACATCAGCTTGTGTTATTTGATCTTTTTGTATGATATAGTAACCAGAGATGTGCGGGGCATTGATTTTCCATCCCCCGCGGGGCCCGCCCCGTAAAATTCACAAACCCATCCCGCCAGAACCCCGTGGATATTCTTTTTGAGAATCCCCGCCCCGCCCGTGCCCCGGCAAACCTATACCCGCTCCGCCCGTACCCCGCACAGGCAGCTTCTTGGACCAGCCCGCCCGACCCGTCCCTGTGTAACCCGAAGAAATTTTTAATTTACCAAATACTTTATTTTTAATGATGCGTTCCTTTTATGAATAATCTTTTTTTACAAAAACAAAACTCAAGTCTATATGAGATGGTTTTGAATGATTCACTTTGTGATTGTCGACAAGCACGTATTTTTGTGGTTGTTCTTTTAAAAACATTTTTATATTTGACGAATTACATTTAATATTACTGGATGAGCAATGACTGAGAGATGAAGAAATAATTGTAGATGAACGATCAGTACTCGACGAAGCTGTCCTATTAAGTGATTCATCAGGAGATAAATCATGTAATTCGATGATACTTAGGTCTGACCAAAAGTTCTGGCAACATTATATAAAAATATAAAGGTAAGTAGGCAGCTTTAATTTTATTTTATCAAATTTTGAGGACAGTTGCCACGATTATTTATACTAAGTTCGATCCTTTCCAACTATTTGTTAAAAATT